TATTTTGATCAAAATAGAGTTGGGTGACCCCATCTCTCTTCGTGGCTGGTAGAGAGATGAAGGCAACAACCAGAAAAGATGTCTTCCACCTTTTATACCTTTCCAGAACAAAAAGATCAGGTCTTGGTACTAGGCATAAGATGGCACAAAAAAATAATTCCTAGATGATGACTCATACACAGCAACCCAGGCTCCATCCATAACTCCTTTTCCCCCTCCCCTTACTGTGCTCTTTTCATATAAGCAATCACCTATACCTAAAGCATGAAGCCCTTACTTTTCCAATATATATATAAAGCATCTGATCAAGCAATTAACTACAAAATAATGATTACAAAATAACAAAACAATGATTACATGATAACACTATAAGTATCAATATAAAATGGTTACTATATGTAAAAGAAATGCTAATGTCAAACTTAAACATACTAAAATCATAAGCACAATAAAATCCCTTCAGTATAGAGAGATAGAAAGAGACAGAGGGAGGGGAAGAGTATGTTTTGCCTGGAAGGGAATATTTCTGGAGCCAATTGGAATGTAGCATCCACCCCTCTCTGCTCCCTAATTAAAGGGTTTAAGCAAGCTGGCTGGGTAGGATTTCTTACACATTTTCCCTGGAGAGCAGCAGTAGCAGTAGCAGCAAGAGCAGCAAGAGCAACAATTACTGGAGCCATGGCTGAGTAAGCCTACTCAACAAGAGGTGGTGGTGGAGAGGATTTGCCCAAGTTAGTTGCAAGCCTTGCACACATTTGTTCTTTGGTTTCCTGGGTCAATTGGTGGACCTTCCATTAGTGGGCCCTTCTCATCATGAGTGGATCCTTTGATAAGAAGATTGCCAGCATTTTGACTGACATTTCCAGCTCACTCAGTTGCCATGCAGCCACCAAGGACTCCCCTACGTTTCCTGAATTACCTATTACGGACCTGGAATGCTACAGCACCCCACTTACTCAACATGTATATTACACCAGTCAACCTTATACTCAACCTTTGAACCACTATGCATACCAACCTCAATTTAACTTCAATGGGATTGGGGCTGCTGGGACATATTCCCCTAAATCTAATTATCCTTATTGCACCTCATATAGGCAATATGGATCTTTCCGGGATCAGCAGTTGCCTAGCCAAGAAACAGGTAAGGAAGTTTTTTTAATCAAAGTCCAGAGTATGTGAGTTTGAGAGGTTGACTGTCCCTATTTGGGGTTCAGGGAGATTAAATGTCTTGGAATCTCTTGGAATGTGGGATTTGTTCTCCCCCATTCTGTTGAAATATTTTAAACAGTGGTGTGTAAGAGATTTTGCCTTGCCAGAAAGTATTGTCTTAGTAGAAAGAAATGAATTAGACACAATGTCCCTTTTTATCATTACATACAAGACACCCAAACTTTTCTAGTGTTCTAAATGCTAACCATTGAACCCTTGGATGGAATTCTGTCCTCCCTTCCCCTAGTCTTCCTTTAGAGTTTTGTGCTTTGTGACTATTTCTGTAATTTTTGGAAAAAATCAATTGTCCCATCAGTAAAAATATCCATCAACTTTAGAGAGCTCTAATGATTTCTGTGACAGTGTTAGGACAATATACATATACATATACACATTTATATATATACACACACACTCCACCATCCACCTATAAAAGACAATTGAGGGATAACTGAAATATATTTTCTATCTTGGTCCTCCTTTTTTTCTTGCCCAATTCAGATTTTGCCATGAAACGACTCTTACAATTGTAAGCTTGATTTTGCAGGGCTATGAAATTCAGCAATAGAAAGTCATGGGCTCTCCAACCTTTTTCCTTAATGAGTGGAGATTCTCTGAAGAACTGATTACTGATCCATTTTGGATCAAGATTTGTGTTTTGCTCCCGTCCAGGATAAGGGTCAAAAAGAATCAAATCAGCCTTTATCCCCCTTCCCTTGAATTATTTCTTCCATGTTCCTGGGCAAGAAAAGGTCTGCACATTTTTTCCAATTTTTGTGTGCTAGTTCATGGATTATTTTTTAATTTGCAAAGTGCAAAGGCTACTGTTGCAACAGTACCTCAAATTCCATCTTTTGTTTAAGGAAGGGAAGATTGGAACTTTTCTTAGAGAGAAAAATATCAGTGCTAAGTTTGAGACTTTTTTCCTGAGGCAAAAAATCTGTTTTCCCCTTCCCCTTAAAAAGAAAGGTCCCCTTTCCCCCCCTAAAACACTATTTCACCAAATGTGATATTTTTAGTAGCTTGTTTTTCTCCCACACACAGACCTGTGATATGCGCAAAATTTGCTCATTTGCTGCTTAAAATCTTGACACCATTGTCCACAATTTGATATGTGCGAGGGCACCCATTTATTTGTATGAATTAAAAAACAGGGAAAGAAGTAGCATAAAAGTTGGAAAACTGAAAGACAAAATACACAACTGTGAAAATGGTAAAGATAAAAAAGAATGTTATCTTTAAACAGAACTGGCACGTAGATTCTAGCTACAACTGTCTGAGACCTACAACTCATGCCCTCATTCCCCACAAACATTTCAGGAAGGGTGTATGCTGGGGTTGTGTGGTTCCAACTCTTCCGTTGTAACTGGCCAATGTTGCCTGCAAAAGAGGAAAAAAACACATCAAGGATCTAGTGAGACAGAGACATAACAAATTCTGTTTTTTAAAAAGGAGCTAGGTCAAAATGGAAGAATGGAGAAGTCCATTTGTGAGGCAGAAAGCACCTAGGCTGAATCCTGCAATGGTCTCCTATGTTGAACTATTTCTTGATCCTGTTAAAAATATCAGGGGAACAAAAAATGAAAACTAAAAGGGGTAAGGAAGGGGAGAAAGGAGAGGCTAACAAGAAAAAAAATTCAGTGGAAAAGTAATAAAAAGCAATGGTGGGGGACATATATCAAGCAAAAGAAGAGAGAGACCAAATAAAAGTTTAATCAATTTCCAAAAATCTTTCTTTTAATGGAATTCCACCTCCCAATTCTCCAGTAAATTGAATAGTAGAAAGCCTCTGAACTTTAGGAGTTTAATTTTTTTATGCCAACAAGCAAGCGATTGAATTAATTTCTGAAGTACAAACAGGTGGATTGATTGATTGATTCAAACAATCTTCATACAAACTACATATAGCTGCCCTTTGATACAAGTTACCTATGAGTAAATTCCACTGAGCTGAGGGAGGCTTATTCCGAATATATTTGCTCCGCATCTGCTCATATTGTTCTGTGTTGTATTGTTGGGAATTAATAAAGACAATACATTCTTTCTCATCTCCTTCATTCTTCATTCTCATCTCCAGCAGTTGAGTGTGAATTTGTATTCCTCTGCTGAAACAAAGCATGGGTTCTGCAAATGGAACAGACTATGTTACTTTATAAAAGCAAAGGTTTAGAAGCCAGCAGTACTTTCTTTTTGAACATCATTGCAACATTTCTCTCTGCTATTTGGGTTTTTTCCCCCAGTGTATTTCATTTGTCTCAATTCTCCAGTTTCAGTGAAGGAAGAATCTGAAGTGCAGATAGTCAATGGAAAACCCAAAAAAATCCGAAAGCCCCGCACAATTTACTCCAGCTACCAGCTGGCTGCTCTGCAAACACGATTCCAAAAGGCACAGTATCTGGCATTGCCAGAGAGGGCAAAGTTGGCTGCACAACTTGGACTGACCCAAACTCAGGTAAAACTCTAGAAACGGGAGGGAGGAGGGGGAGAGACAGAGAGGGAGAGAGAGAACTTTTGTTTAGCCTTTTGGAAACATGAGTGTATATCTGTGTGAAACTCCAGCAAAATTTCAGGGAACTGCAAAATTTAGTGCTTTAGACAGGCTGGTTGAATTAAAATCAGTTCAGTAACTTCTAGTTATTAATTTTCTCCCAATCCATCCATTCTTTTCATAATATTTTGTAAATGATTTTTCCATATTTGTCCTCTGAAATATTTCATTTCTTTATCCCAGTCTCTGTGTATCCCTAGATTTGTTTAAGGTTTAAAAACAAAAAAGAGTCTATTTTTCAGGATTGTTAACCATTTACAGTAGATAACTCTTTGCATGTTGAGAAGTAAAATATTTGTGTGAATTCTATGATAACACAGTGATGACTTAGGATTAAGGGGATCACAGAAAAGAGGTGGTGAGTTCATCTGTTGTCATATGGAAGGCAAACAATGATGATCACAATAATTCTAATTAAGAGAAAGCATGAGTTGTCATAAATACAAAATGTAATAATAGAACAACAGTAAGCAAGCTGGGACAAGTTACAATATTTTGCAAAAATACTTGGGAGCAATTAACCTGCAGGGGAGTTCTGGGAAAACTTGAAGGGATACATGAGTCTGCAGTCTTACGTATATTTACCTTGGAGTCTAGCTGATCAAAGTCAGTGGGATGTTTTTCCAAACAAGCATGGATAAGATCTGTCAGATTGAAAACAATTCTCAAGTTCTTAGTTTTGTTTGATAAGAGCTAAAACAGTGGGGTAATATATATGGAAGAGAATGCTGCCTTTTTAAAATAACATTTGGTACTCATCCCTTCCTTAGGAAAAATCTGAATAGTAGCACTAAACTAAAACAAAACTAAAGACAAAACAGAAATACTACTTTTGGAATATATGAAACCATTCAAAAGTGAGTACTAACTTTGGCTGTAATTCTATAAACATTACCCAAGAATAAGCCTAAAAATAAGTCACTTATTTTTTATGATATCTGTGTATTTGCGGATGTTGGGAGAATCAGGAATAACATTTTTATCAGGAAAGTAGTGGAAAAGATCTAATTTTCCAAAGCAGAACTTCAAGAGCTAGGCTCCCAGAACACATGCTAAACAGTGGTTGGTTTTAACCTGAGGGTGGGTGGTTTCTTTAATGTTTTAATTTGATGACTTAGCTATATATTTCTTTGGTTAATTTATGTGCCATTGTATTGTGAGAACTGAGAAAATGGATCAATTGAATAGTGAAGTCTCATCCTGTTTGTGTCGGAGGCACCGTTTAAGGTGCTTCTGGGTTGAAAGGATTAGCTGGCGACATCACTGTTGCCTGGTAGATGCCCGTGGGGGCTCCTTTCATGTCCCCGCCAAGGAGCTGGAGCAAATGACAGGAGCTCACCCTGCTACACAGCAGCACACAGATCTTAAACATGGGCTTGCTAACCTCCAACCCAGCTTCCTAACCACGTGAGCCACCGTGTTCCTTAATAGTGAAGTATAATGCATAAACCTAGCCAGTAGGCACCCAGGTTTTCGCTATAATTATAAATGTTTTTAAAACACATAAATGCCCTCTTGCTACATACAGTGGGCCTCAAAGCTAGTTGCATCTTTCATTGTTTCCATTGGCTATATTCAAGGATACACTGAACTATAAATGAATTGTATTGATTAAGTTCACATCACTACAATGTCAATTTTATTTTAGCTTGCCTTGCTGTAAGAACCCAGGCTACTTTTCTCTGCTATATGGGCAATTTGCAATCCAATTTGCAAAGTTATCATGGTTTACCTAAAGATGACAACAGAAAGAAAATATTTAGGTGATCTGTCAAATATGATGGGTAGCCTATATTTAAGGCAGGATTTGTTGAATCTACTTTATTGAAATTCCAAAATCTACTGAGATCAGAGTCACAGAATGAAGAAACAGGGTTCCTCTGAGCACATTCTAGAGGATGTTTTGGGGTCCAATGTTAGAAGTGAACTGAGGCCATTGTCCTTTTATCCAAATGTCCCCTCTTGTTTACCCTAATGTTTCTTCATTTCAGTCAACTAATTTAAGATGAAGCCAAATTTATTTATTTATTTATTTATTTTATTAAACTTATATGCCGCCCTTCTCCCAACAGGACTCAGGGCGGCTTACAGCATATTAAAACGATACAAACACTATCCCCAATAAAAACCAATTAAAAACAAATATTTACCGCTGTGTTACCATTAAAATTCTAATTAAAATTGTCCCTATTTAAAATTCTCCCTAGGCCANGGGGTCGCCAGCCGACACTGCTTGGCCGACGGCACCCTGAGGAGGCCCGCTCTGTGGGAGCGTACTGGTCTGTGAGAGGAAATCTGTGGCAGAAGGCGGTCTCGGAGATATCCAGGTCCGATGCCATGGAGCGCTTTAAAGGTGGTAACTAACACCTTAAAGCGCACCCGGAAGGCCACTGGTAACCAGTGCAGCTCGCACAGCAGCGGTGTTACGTGGGAGCGACGAGTCCCTCCCAACACCGCCCGTGCGGCCGCATTCTGGACCAGTTGAAGCCTCCGGATGCTCCTCACAGGGAGCCCCATGTATAGAGCATTACAGTAGTCCAGGCGGGAGGTGACGTAGAAGAACAGAAGAAATAACACATTCATGCATACATACCATTCCCAAACAAACCCTCATGTTATCATCTTCTGTAGCCCTTCTTGATGATATATGTGAAGTTGTATAGTTCTAGAGGGAAATAGGATGGCAAGTTTATGAGATTAGTACAAAGCTAGAACTTAAATAGCTCTGGAAATTTCCTCTACTAAATGAGGCTAGGCATACCATATCTTGCTTGCAGAAATTCAGGCAACCATGGAAGGGCAGTAAAGAGATACAGGAAACTGTCTTTACTGCCATTAGTGATCATCCAGATTAATGCACCCTAGATATGCCCACATGAAAGATAGAAAAATAATATACAAAGCTGGATTGCCAAAAAGCACATAACTCCTTAGGCAAGGATGAAATCAGAGTAAAATGTACTTTGTTGTGTTGAAAGAAAAATCTTCATCAGGGTTCAGTCCAAGCTGGGAATAAACAAAATGGAGACTGCTTTAGAAAGAAGGTTGTAGTTTATTGAAGAGCAGAACCACAAGACATGAGACTCTGGAGCAGCTGACCACATGTAGCTGGGAGTGGTGGGTTTTTATAACTTCTTGGGCTTTTGTGTTTGGAGTTCCTGTTCCTGTGGCATGAACTTTGACCTGAGGTTCTTTTGAGTGTGTCATTTTTGGTATTGGTGGGTTAATCCTATTATGTCCTAAAGGTCATGTTTCCTGTCCTTAGAGTTTGGGTGGGGGATGTAGATTTTAGGGGTCTTTGTCTTTCTAATCTCATCAGCTCCAAGCTTCCTGGCTCCAATCTTTCTGAAAGGATTATCAAATCTGCATTTCTACAGACCTGGCCTCTGCTTGGGGCAGAGAGACTTGGGGGGGGTGTGATTTCTGCCTTTAAGATCCTTTGGGGAAATATAATATTCTGCCTTTTTATTTTTTTTCTCCAAGTTTTTTATTAATTTTACAATATTACATTTACATATTTGAAAAGTAGCGTGGCGGCTGAGCACAGTAATTCCATTACATTTGAATATCACCAGTACAAATCTCAAAGTATTACAACAACTAATTCCCTCTCTTTCCCCCATAATATCTACTGTCATGTTTGAACCAATACAATTCTTATTCTATCAATCAAACAAAAAGTACCTTTCTAATATTCATCAATAATCTTCAGTCTATACATATCTTAATTAATTTGACATTCCACCTTTTAGACAATAACCTAGTAAGTTTTTCTTAACTTTGATTTCCCATTGATATTTAAGTTTAACGTTTAATCTTTATCATTTCCAGATTTTAAATGATCCCAATTTCTAAGTCTCGTATCTCACATTTGGGGCTAATAATTTTTTTTCTTTCATTGTCCTCACCAGACACAAATCAACAGTAGAGATTTTTCCTCTTCAAAACCAAAGTTCCCTTCTACAAAGTGTGCTTATCAGGATAAATGCTATTCTGCATGTGCTAGTGTCCTTTGGCATAAAACTTCTGTCTATCTAGGACACGGGTCGGCAACCTGTGGCTCCGGAGCCGCATACGGCTCTTTGAGCCATCTCCTGCAGCTCCGGAGCCTCCTCCTCCCCCTCCTCCCTCCCCCCCATGCTGCAGTCCCGGCTGGGGCGGTGGCGAGGGCATCGCTTCCTGGGCCGTCCCCGGGCCGCCGAGCCGGCCACGTGTCTGCCTGGGCCGGGCGGCAGTCCCGGCTGGGGTGGCGGTGGTGGGGGCATTGCTCCCTGGGCCGTCCCCGGGCCACCGAGCCAGCTATGCATCTCCCCAGGCCAGGCTGGGCGGCAGTCCCGGCTGGGGTGGTGGCAGGGGGGCATCGCTTCCTGGGCCATCCCCGGGCAGCCGAGCTGGTCACACATCTCCGCGGGCCGGGCTGAGCAGCAGTCCCGGTTGGGGCGGCGGCAGCGAGGGCATCGCTTCCTGGGCCATCCCTGGGCCGCCGAGCCGGCCACGTGTCTCCCCGGGCCGTGCGGCAGTCCCAGCTGGGGCGGCGATGGCAGCAGGGGCATCGCTCCCTGGTCCGTTCCTGGGCTGCCAAGCCAGCTATGCGTCTCCCCAGGCCGGGCCGGCGGCAGTCCTGGCTGGGCCGGCAGCAGGGGGGCATCGCTTCCTGGGCTGTCCCCGGGCCATTCCCCGGGCAGCTGAGTTCGCCACGCATCTCCCCGGGCTGGTTCGTGGTGTCCCGGGCGCCTTTGAGCGCCTTCTACTGCCTCCTGCCCCCCTCCCCTTCCTGGCCCTTCGGCGCCATCTGCCTTTCATTCTCTCTCTCTCTCCTCATCTGAAGAGAGAGAGAGGCAGAGGAAAGAGAGAGAGAAAGAGAGAGAGAGGGTGACTTGTTCGGGCGAAGAACCAGTGGGGGG